TTAAAAGAACCAAGATAGAAAAAAAAAAAAAAAACAACAGGAGTTCCCTGCATCATTTGTTCATTCATTATCCTATCAAAGGCACTAAGTGGAGTATTTTAAATTGAAATTATATACATATTACAAGGAGCAGTGGTGGGCTTCTGGAAACACACAACACAAACACAAGCACACAACACATACAAATTCAAGCACATCTGTAAGAGGAGAAAACAAAAGCAACCAAAAAATGGACTTGCAGCAAAAACTGAATTGGTTTTCTAATTTGGGGAGAGAACAGTTTTAGAGTTCACTTTTGCAGGGAAGTCTCAAAAGGGAACAGATCACACTACAGTGAAAACGCCCCAGACTGATGAAGCCACAGGCAGGCCCCATCCCCAAGAATATTCAGAGTTCCACTAATTCGAAAACAAGTTCCAAGAGTTAAATATACCTCTTTTGAAACATGTATTTAAAAGATAAATTTATACAATGGTGTTTTTCTTAGTTAAAAAAAAAAAGTTGGTTTTTACAAGTCTGGGACAGGGTCACAACTTGTTCAACTAGTCTCAGTAACACTAGAACACTCACTTTGCACAATACAAGCCGTGGTTGGGGATGAGAAAGGAACAGGTCAGTTTTCAGAAACCCTCTTCAAGGGCAGACATCCACTCCACGTTGCAAGGTGGTTGAAAGATCCAAGAAGCAGGGACATAAGAACATTAGCCCTCCAGAACGCTAAGGGAGTTCGGGCCCTGCTGCATATTACCAAGACCTAAATCAATCCAGCTAAGACTCAAGGAAGACATACACTAAGTTTTTGGTCAATCGGATCTCAGTGTAACCTAAAGAATTCTCACTAAAATCTCCAGCTTCCCATCGGTAAGAACAGAGGATCCTCAACCAGATACCAACTCAAAAACTCTGGACCTAAGTTCCCAGATAAAGTCCAGAGTCACACTTGACCTTTGGCATTCCAAGTTCAAGAAAGGCTTTCAAACTTGCCATCCAGTGGCACAGTTGAAACCACCTAAGGCCAAATCGTTATCTACCAAAAGACTCTGTAACAAGAACAGTACTTAACAAAGGGTTTTGTTTGTTGTTGTCTTAAGATCAACATAAAGTTCATCCATATCAACCATAAGGGAAACTTTCAATGAAGTCAGGTGGTTAAGTACCCTCAAGATCCCCCATGGAAAGCTAATCAATGCATGGGGTAGGGGGCTGCAAGAATATACACCAAGTTCATAAAATGTAATAATTCTCAAGAAACCAAAGTATTTTTCCTGCCTTCTTTGGTAATGCTTAATAAAGGAACTTTACTGATTAATTAAACTAGAATGTCACAGGGGGGTGGTGGAGAAAATTAAGGTTTGTTTTTAAAACTCCACAACGGGTTTTACAGTAAGCACAGGAATTAAATTATGGTAAAAAGGCAGCTATTTTTACTAAAATAGGGTAGACCAATTAATCAAAAAATGCCATCCAGCTATGTTCATTACATTCAGGAATCTAATTTACACAATAGACACTATGGAGTAATACATTTTAGTCAATAAATACTCGAACTTCTTTAAGTTTTAATCTTATCAGAAATACATATTTCACATAGTCTTCCTAGTTAAGAGAGAAATGGGAGGAAATGGCATAACGAGTATCCGTCTGCCTTATCGTCCTCACGTAGGCAAGGGCTCAAATTAAAGTTGTCTCGCTCCACTTACATATGTTTTAATCCAATCGGCTTCGTTTCCAGCAGGCCTGCATATGGAGTTAGTTTCTTTCAGATTACTAAGGGTGCTATGGGAGGGTTAGGAAAGTTCACTCAAGTAGACCTTCAAGCACACTTTAGAGTTGGGAGCACAGGCGATTCCCTAGAGATGTTAATGGAACTTCACGAGGTTGTGTGTGTGTGTGTGGGTGTGTGGTTGTGTGTGCTCGCGCGCGCGAGAGAGAGAGCACACACATACACACACGTGCAAGGCTGCCGCTCTGGACCACAAGACTGTCCCTGTCCCCACTCTCCAGTGCCCCCAATGATCAAAGCTCTGCGGGCTCATTCGCCGCTCACCTTCAACTTGGCTCCGGCTACGCACAACATCCACCTGGCAGATTCCCGGGGCTGTCCAGGAGCCGCGAACGCGGAGCTAGCACTAGCAGGGAGGACCCCGAGGGCGAGCAGCTGGTTCAGATGAGGGGTGGCAGGCAGGATACCATCCTCAGGGCACGCAGGCAGCTCCGCCTCGGAATGGGAAGCCCGGTTACCATCCCCTCGAGGAGACGGGGAACCACAAGCAGTCTCCGCACAGTCCAGCGGGGCCCCCGGGGCTTTGCTTTCGAG